GCTAAAAGTATGTGCAATTGTCGTACTGAAAATGTTTGGTACGGTATCATATCATATAAAAATTTATGATATAAAATAATTTTTACACTTTAGTATTTTTTCATGCACTATTTGAGCAAATTAATATTTTTCACTCTTAATAATAGTGATAAATGAATTATTTTAATGAAATATAAAAATTAAATTTTAAATCAAATCTCATTATTAACTAATTTTCAATCGTAAAATATCAAATCAAATATTGTTATATTATATTAAAAAATTAATTAAAAATTTTAAACATCACGTAAACACTTATTTATATCATATTGAATATTTATTCATTTTTATTATTCAAAATTCTAGCAATACTTTTAAATTTAAAATAAAACAAACAATAAAAGTTAGGGGTATTAATAATTGAATAAAATATAGTTAAATTTGTAATTGTAATTAGTATTTACTAATTATTACTCCCTCCGTCCCACATACCATGTCCACGTTGTCGTTTATGTCCGTCCCACATTCCATGTCACTTTCCTTTTTTAGAAAATGATTACACACTTTAATCTCATTTTAAACTTTTTAATTTTTTTAATTTTAATTAAACTAATTAGTTATCTTAATCTTAATTTATACTTATTTATATTATAGGATAATTATTTTCGCTAAGACATTATTAATTATCTACTAGTTATATCCCTCATAAAATACCGTGTCTATAGTGTAGCAGACACGGTATATGAGACGGATGGAGTACTATATTAAAAAATGTGACTAATTTCGCGGGACAACCAAAAGAGGAAGGGTGGACTAATTTCACGGGACGAAGGGAGTATTCTACTTCCTCCTTATCCCTTTGAAGTTTTGTAATATTAAAAAAAAATTAAATAATAGTATTTTATTGGACAGTAAAAATATGTAAGATAGGTTTGACATTTTCACTTCTTTTGACTTTATATATAAAATAGTTATACGTCCGTCTATTTGTAATGTAAATAAAAATTAATGACATATAGTTAATCTATAATTAATTTTATCAAAATAAAAAAATAATTTCCAATGGATAGAGGAAAATGGTAAACAAAAATGTACTTTTAATTGGGCGGGATGGAGTAATTCACTATCAATAATTTATTAAATTATTACTAAATTTCATTATGGTTGAGCAATCGGATCTTTGGTTTCGCTATACGAAAATTCGAATTTTCGGAAAAAAATCAATCCGAATCGATTCAAAATTAAAAAATTCGTAATCTGAATGAAAAATATTGATCTGAATCGAAAAATTCGAAGTAATTTGAAATTCTATATTTTTGGTGTTTTTTAAAAATTTTATATTTTTATGATTGTTTTATAATATTAAATGTATATAATAAATAAAAATCCAAAATAATCCGAAATAATTTTTAGCTCTAGTTTTTATTAAAATCTTAAATATATATTGTAGACACTAAAAATATGTCTAAATTAAATTAAATATCATGTATTTTGGAAAAAAATAAAATTTCAATAAAATAAATATATGGTATTTAATTACACAAATGTTAATTTTTGTACAATAAATATCAACTATTAATGCAAAAATTTGCTTAAAATGAAAGATATCATACAAATATTACGTGCATAAATAGAGCCATAATAAATTTGGCAACAAAATAATTTAATCTTGTCAATAAATGAAGTATATAAATTAATATCTTCCGAAAAAAGGAAATGATATAAAGATCTTGACGAGAAATGAGGTGTACAATCAAATCCGTCAAGAATAAAAAAACGACATGGAAAAGAAAAGATTATAAAACACTACTAGAAAAAAGGTTAATAATTGCATAAATTTATCGCAAATTTTAATATGTGACAATTAAAAGTCACGGAAAATAATTTCATGACAAATTTATGTCACAACTTTTTGCTTTAACTATTCCGTAAGTAATATTTGCAGAAAAAGCTACAAACAACTTTCCGTGACTATATAAAGTAACGGCTTATGTAACGAAAATATCCAAGATATTTCTATTCCGTGTCTTTTGACTATTCGTCACAAAAAATTGTCACGAAATTTTTTCTTGACTATTTTAAGTTGCGGCAAAAATAACCAAAATATTTCCAACATTTTAAATATTACAGATATTGTCATGGTATAATTTTCGTGACTTTTTAAAATCAAATGTCACAACATAAGTAACGAAAACAACTATAAATTTTTCTTATTATTGTTCGTAGCTATTCAAAGTAATAACAAAATAATAAAATCATCTTCAATATCTTTATTCAATATCGTTCATAGCTATTCAATTTTTTGTTAAAAATTCATAATGATATATTATATAAATATGTATATATTTTTAAAAGACAAATTTATAATCAATAATATTTATATAGTTAAAATATAATAACAAACAAAAAGTAATACTTTATAGTAAGTTAGCATGACAGATGTGTAAGTCTTTAATAACTATAAGGTCACTAGTTCGAAACCCTTCGACTTGCAGTGGTACGAAGTAATTCCGAAAAAAATAATCGTGTGTGGTTGCATTGAACAAAAATTATAATATAATTATATATATTTTTTTTCAAAAATATAAAATCACGGAATTGTTACAACTTTCATTAATATAAAGTCACAGAGGTGTAATGGTATTATTTTGTAACTTGTTGTCACTAAAATGTCACTATTATAAAATATTCACGAAATTTTGTTGCAGCTTCTGTTGCTATATAAAGTTACGGACATGTCATGGTATTATTCTATAACTTATTGTCACAAAAATGTCACAACTTAAAAAAAGTCACCAGCAAAATTCCACGGAAATGGTTCCGTATATTTTTCCGTGACTTTTTAGTAAAAAGTCACCAATTTGTATTAAAACCGTGACTTTTTTTACTGTAACTATAGCCTAATTTTCTAGTAGTGAAAATCTTCTTGTTGGCCAATCAGGACGCTCCACGTGGCATCATACAAAAAGAAAGCCGAGGTCACCCTTCCCCTATAAATAGGAGTCATGGTCAGTTCATTTGAGATACCGAAGTTGCATCGAGGATTCAAGCAAAGGGGTAAGTCTCTCGACTCTCTCTGAATTGTTCTCCGTGTCCTTCGAAGCGTTCTTCGTCGAAAGTCACTGATTTGGACAAATGATCCAATATTGGTTGATGAATCGATGAAGTTAACGTTCTTCGTCGTATGTCCGAGTCGGAGGAAGGATCAAAGCTCCCAAAGCCATTGAGGAATTTGTCAAAGCAAAGGAAGAGCATCCCAAGTTCATCCCAAAGCTTTAAGGTATTCGCCGCGTTCTTCGTCAAAAGCATCAACCAGACCCTCAATCCAAAAATCAAAGGGACACACCGCCAAAAGTGTTATGGAATACCAAATCCACATTCTCAATGATCAAAGTTGTGGATCGTCTAAAGAAGACAACAAATCAAAGTTGAGGATCAAATCGCCCGCACGGAGACCGAAACTCTTCGAAAGACGGAAAAGACAAACCAAATATCAAAGCCGCGGATCGTCCAAAGAAGACATCAAATCTAAAGCTGAGGATCAAATCGCCCACACGGAGACCAAAGTTCTCAAAAGGTGGCAAAGCCAAAGCAAAGATTAAAGCCACGGATCGTCCGAAGAAGATATCAAATCCAAAGCCAACGATCAAATCGCCCACATAGAGACCGAAGCTCTCCAAAAGACGGAAAAGACAAACCAAATATCAAAGCCGCGGATCGTCCAAAAAAGACATCAAATCCAAAATTGATGATCAAATTGCCCATATGGAGACCAAAGCCCCCAAAAGGCGGCAAAGCCAAAGCAAAGATCGAAGCCTCGGATTGTCTAAAGAAGACATCAAATCCAAAGCCAATGATCGAATCGCCTACACGGAGACCAAAGCTCTTCAAAATGCGGCAAAGCCAAATCAAAGATCAAAACCTCGGATCGTCCAAAGAGGGCATCAAATCCAAAGCCAACGATGAAATCGCCTGCATGGAGACCAAAGCCCTCCAATGTCCGGCAAAATCAAACCGAAGACCAAATCTCTTCGAATCAAAGAAACCATCGAAAACCAAGTTGAAAAACAAATCGACCCGGACGGAAAATCAAATGACCCATTTAGAGAATATGACCCACATCAAATTCAAATCAAATATAATTTATAAAAATTTTTGTATTTATTAAAAATAACACAATTTTTTTGTCAACATATATAATAAATTTATTAAAATATTTATATATCGAATTTCAAGTTAACTTGAATTTTTAGCATATCGATTTGAACCCATTTAAAATTTTGTTTGCAAAGTCCAAAAAATCCAAACAAAATTTTAAACAAATCAAAAATTTGAATAGCTAAATATCTTGTAACTAATCAAAGATGTTGTTGTCGTAAAAAAATCGCCACCGATGGCTTAATCGGAAAAGCCTGTCGGAATTGATTTGTTCGAAGGGTTCCCCGGCCTCCTCAAGAAAGGATCCGGGCTATCTCGCGATATCCGAATAATTAACGAAAAAAGAAGGTAAATTGAACAAGAACGAAGCTGAAAATTAAATTGAAATTAATCGAAGAAAACTGTAAAAATTCTGAAAAAATACTGCAGAAATTAAATTGCAAAGAAAATAATTAATGTTGAAGAGGATGATATGCTTTTCACGGCGTCTTCTTTCCCTTTTATTCTCTAAACCTTGTTCGGATAAGGTTTACTCCCTTATTTTTCTCCAACCTCCCCCGAATTCTTCTTACTTTTAAATTATATTTTATCCGTCTCTTATTTGACCAAATATCTCACTGATTTGGACCTTCTTGTGGGCCGTGTTTCTCCGTGGATCGGGCTCCCAATATGGATTGAGCCTTATGGTTGAGTTTTGGAGTGTATAGATGTCTTTGTGAAGGTTTTTTGATATACGGGTTCCTGACTTGGGGGAGAAAAAAATTAATGTGACACATGAGAGAGAATGGAAAGAAATGAGGGGTGGATTCGTCCGCAGTGTATGCTCAATCTCATCTGATTGAAGAATTAATGTAGAAAAGATGTTTGGTTGAAACGTCGCAGTGTTGTGTTTTGTATGTATCTGTAAAAATCTACAAAATTTAATTTGCAAAAAAGAATCACATCACACGACAATCATTCAACAACAAACAGCAATGCAATGCAATGCAATATTGATGCATCTATGTATGTATGTAATCCTCTTTTTTCTAACACACGCACATATAATATCTATAGATAGATTTGTCACCGTTGGATCAGCTCGGAATCATGATCGAACGATCCAGGCCTCTTGCAGCTCTTCATCTTTAACAACCCGTACAGCTTTCTGAACTCCTTGGGCACCGTCTCCTTCCAGGGTGTGCCACCGCCTTCCTCCGGGAGCGGCGGCGGAGCTGGAGATGAGGCCGCGCTGTCGCTCAACCTTGCCGCCGCGACCTTTCCCCCATTCCTATTGTTCGATTGTAAAGCCGAGATTACGGATTTTAAGGCTCGGCTTGGCGAGCTCCGATTTACTAACATCAATTCACTGATCTCCGCCGGACTCATCGTTGCGCCACTCTGAAAGATTTCCTCCACTTGTTGGAACAATTTGTGATCCTTCACGCCTAGATAATTGTTGGCCAAACTCTTGAACGAACTGAAGTCGCAGAGAGGGAAGTATATGTGCATATCGATTCTTCCCGGCCGTAGCAAATCCGAGTCTACTCCGTCTTTGCCGTTCATCGTGAAGATCATAATCCTCTCCTCCAGTGAATTCGATATCCCGTCCATGAAATTCAGCAGACCAGAGGAGGTGATTCGCTCCTTGGATCTCTCCGAAACGAAACGATCCAGATCCTCAACGACGATGAGAGATTTAGTCGTGGTTCGCAACAGAAGAGAGTTCAGATCTGCGTCGTCGAGCACCTGCGACAAATGAAGGTTGTAAACATCGAAGTTGAGCAGATTGGCGGTCGCCGCGACGAAGCTTGATTTCCCCGTCCCTGAATGACCGTAGAGCAGATAGCTGCGTCTCCAAACGCGGCCGATTTTGTTGTAATACTGCTTGGATTTGAGAAACGTCTCCAAATCGGATCGAATTTTGGCTTTCAAATCCACATCCATAACAAGCGTCTCGAAGTTGGCTGGGTGATTGAACGGAACCGGTTTCCACTTTCCATCCTTGCAGCTGTAAATCCTCAACTCTTTCCCGCCCTGGTCGAGATCGTCGGAGACCGCGTGTATGTGCTGAAGGTATGGCTTCAGAATCCTGCGCTTATCCTTTTTCCTAATCCTGAGCACGAAACTCCGCGATACAACATGATTCCAACCATCTCTATGGATTTGATTCACCCACGCGACTCGAGCTCCGAGGAAGACGTCGTGGATGGGCCGGTCGTCGTCGAGGCAGAGAACGATGTCGTTAGGTTTCCTCCCCGAGAAGAGGTTGGTGTGATCGGAGTCTTCCAAGGACGGCAACGAATTGAGGTATAGCGAAACTCGGCGGTAGAACTGGTTCTCCTGCTGAGTTGAGTCGTTGAACTCGGGAACTCGGAAGTGCTGGTGGACGTGAACTCGGTCTCCGACCCACTCCGTCCATTTCCTGACCACGAATATCAGAGCCGTCCGGTGCAGAAACCAGCGAAGCAGGAAGACGAAGCAGGCGGCCGACAGAACGAAGATCAAGCTGCCCACAATCATAGCAAGCCGGAATCAATCTCCTCCTCCTCCTCCCTGCAGGTATCGTATGGTATCGAAATTGAAATTTATTTATTTATTGAAGAAGGAATGGTTGCTGCAGGGAAATTGTTCGGCTAAGTAAATAAAGGTGATGATGATGACGATGATGGTGGGGCTGGAGTGAGGCGCCGTTGGTGGCAAGAAAAGAAAAGGCTGTGGGCCAGACATACATACACACAGACTCCTGAGGACAACTCTGTCCACACGAAATTTATGTACAACGGCGACTGGTACTATCAATACGCATTTTACTTACTGAATTTTATTTTTTATTTTTTATTTTAGAATACTTTGTAAATTAGGTCTGACAAATAAATCACATTGGACGAACCAATCATAATCTCACAATATAAACTATTAGGTCATCCTTTATTCGACGTTTTTTTCTTTTTTTTTTTTTTTTAATTACTAATAAGGAGATAGAGAGTGATTAAAAATGGTGCAGCATTGAACATTGACTTTGGGGCTTCATTTATTGAATTTGGAATCTTGGAATAAATCAGGGGTTTTTATCAGTTCTTAGGTATACTAGGGGAGGGGTGGATTTTCCAACTGATGAATTCTGAACAAATGAAATACTAATTGGGAATAAATCTTGGGTTCATAATTAATTTAATTTAATTTAATTTGTTGGTATTGTTAAGTTTGATGAGAAAAGAGTCTTTTAAGTCTTGGCAACCACTTAATTGTGTTGAATTAGGGATTGGAGGATAAATTGAATGATAAAAGTATATATTGTTAGATAGTGTTGTAGGTGATTGATAATTACGCCTTTCGATGATTACGAGTAGATGAGGGGATGAATTAAAATAGCTGTAAATATTTCTTTTAGTTGGGGGGTACGTTAAGTTTGATGATCAACTCAATTGTATTGTATTGTTGTGCATGTATATGTATATACATATTATTTTAATTCGTATGAGACTACTGACACCTCCCCTTCAAAGTCCTACAATTAGTAGTTTTATGAAAGTGCAAACATATCTTAATTCATCAACTACTCTCCTTAGCTAACACTATCATAATACACTTTAGTTTGATGAATGTATATTTGTTTTTGGATAGATGTATTTTACATTTAGGTATGCGAAAATAAGATTTTGTATTCAATTATTAACTTTTTATTATGGAATAAAGTATATATTGTGTTAATATTGTTTTTTAAAAAATAGTTATAAGAATCATTCCACATAAAATAAATAAATAAATTAATATTTTATGTTGGATAAAGTTCACCACTTAGATTTTGTTGTCCAATTTTATTTACTTTTTACATGTCCCATTTTATTTATTTGCGAAATTATATAGATAATATAAAAATAATATTTTGTATTGAACTATTAATTTTTTTCATTGAATAAAATATATATATTATATACATTGTGTTAACGTATTGAATAAAATAAAATATATATTATATACATATCCCATATATGGTTGTGATTTGTCTTAGGTTCGGCAAGGGGTTTAAAAAAAAACAGAGGTGCAGAAATGTCCCACATAAAAAAATTTATTTATTTTTTAAATGTTGTTGTCCCATCGCTTATTCCTTCACTTGAGTGATGAACCGCGACTATTGGTGTTTCTACTTTTACAACATATGGAGGAGGGAGAGAGAATCCATTAATAGGGCAGGACGCGAGCAACGTAATTAATGGCAACACAAAAGGTCGGGTAATATATAAATGTGTGTGGAATTACTTAACCAAGGTTGACTTAATTTGTGGGTAGGGAGGGGAGGGGAGGGGAGGGAGTTGTTTACCAATTAGGCAGCGTTGGCGTTGGGGTTGGGGTTGGAAGTAAAGTAAAGGGTGGTTTCTATATAGACATCGACCGGGATTTAATTGAAATCTAATATGATATGATATGATATGATATATGAGAAAGGCATGCAGCATGATTTGGAATATTCAAATATGCAACTTGACAGATATATAATGTACGTCATCCTTTTTCTGGTGAGGTGGCAATCATCAAATTAATTAATTAATTAATTAATTAATTAATTGATTGATTATAATATATATATATATATATATATGTGTGTGTGTGTTTGAGGGTCATGGTCCAAATGGGGTAATAGAAGCGGGGAGTGAGAGGCTGGTCATGGTGTGGTGTTAATGAGAGAGACGAGTGGATTCCGTGTGGGGCGGCGATTCCCCAAACAACGGGCAAGCTCCCACCTCCAGCTGCCACCAAGTAAACGAATTACTTTTATTTTTAATATGTAAACAAGCTGGTACCGAGAGATGGATATTTAAAAAGATATTGAGGAGATTTCTAGTGTTTATTGCCAAGGGAACTTCAATTTGTGGAGGAGCATATTCTATGTATGTATGTATGTATCCATTGCTGTTGCCAGTTGTATTTTAGATGAGATTAATAATCAATTAGAAAATTACAAGGAAATAGTACTAAAAGGATTATTTGGAGTGGGAGTGAATGGAGAAGACCAAGTGAAGGAAACATATTAACTTTTTGTTATGTGCAGCATAGCATTGCAGCTTTTCCTTTTCATTTTCCTTATTTGGATTTAGGAGGAAGGGGATGGGGATGGGGACGGGGACGCGGTTGGGTGGCTGGGTGGCTTTACAGCGCATGATGCATGCCCACGCCCTCCACACGCCTAGCTTAGCTTCATAGCCAACCCCACCCCTCCCCCTCAAAGAAACCTACCCAGCTAGCTCTTTATTGCTATAGAATTATGCTCCTTACGCTTTCTAAAACACTATATCCATCCACTTATAAGTTATATACGTTGCAGTAGTCTCATTTACTTTTTTACGTATTAATTTTTAAATATTAATTATTATATAAAAATATAATACAAATTAACATAAAATTGCAAATATACTTCTATTAGTGTCTTATAACACTAAAAATATATTTGTATAAAAAATTATATAAATATAAAAATATTTTTAATATTAAATACAATAACGCAAAAGGTAAATGTGACCCTTAGAGGTGGACGGGGTATATATTTTTATTTTTATTTTCTAATTGAAAAATAATATTTTTAAAATACTTTTTTTTTTTTACAAAATATTGGCTATTTTACCATCATACACCAAAAAGTAAAATAAAGACAAAATTGTCTTTACATTATTTTTAACTATTCATTATAATTAGAATACTACTCCTTCGGTCCCAAACAAAATACAATATTTGAGTTGGACACGAGATTTAAGTGTGAAGTATAAGTAGAATAATTTAAAAATGAGTCTGGATGATATGTTGATATGCTTGTGAATTCAGCAGCATATACTGAATTTAATCCCAACCATTAATTTAAAATCTAATTATTTTAATTAAATAGACAATTTAAGGATTAAGGATGGAGATTAAATTTAGTCATGCTGAATTTGTTTATTGAGCACAACATTCATTTTATGGTGATATGACCAAGAGAGAAATGTATATTTTATTTTTTTATTTGAGATATGTGATGAGATAGTGAAGTATAAATTAAGTATAATTAATTAATTTTTATTTTAGAAATATTGAGGGTGTTTAAACATATAAAAAAAAAATGCTGCCTTTGACTTTGAGACATAGGGAGTATTATTTTTTAAATTTAATGCAAAAAATAAATATATATACCTTCAAATTGGAGGGACGGAGTAATATTCAATTTTTTTACAAGAAAATTTAAAAAGTATTACTATTTTAATATTAGTTGTATAATTTTTTTCAAAAAATTTTTGTAAAGGTCATAACAAAAAAAAATTAAATTAAATAATGATGAATTTATTACAAAAATTTTGCTACAAAATATTTGTATATGTTGCCACACAAAAATGTCATCGATAATGGCGGGCTAATTCTAGAAGATTTTGAACAATTAGATCAAAGCGACTTGGGCCGATGTAACATAATTTTGTTAGTGTCAGGTCTAAGCATCTAAATTGGATTAATCAATCGTGGATTGTGATTAGCAGTGGCTCAAAAGAATGCAAGCCCAATAAAAAATCTGACCCGATTGACCATTTATGATGTTTGGTGTTTGGAACGGCAAATGCGAGATGAATCGATTAAGGTTGGGTCGCATACAACTCAAGAGGGAATCAAAAGAAATTAAGGCCAAATTTATGAAACTCTTGTTGAACAGTTAAAAGGAAAATCAAAGGGACTTATATGGCAAGAAAATAATCATGGGCAATTAAAGAAGCAATTATAAGGAGGTTATATGGATGGATCAATATGGATTATTGGCCACTACTTTTACCATTACAAAGAGATTAAATGACCATTAGTTCATCAATTAAGTGGAAGGAAGTGACACTAAATGGAGTGTTGAATGCGAGCGATACGAAAATTAACATGATAGCTTGGAAAAAACTAAAATAGATCGGTTGAGTTGTGCCAGGAAACAACCACATCTCATCCAACAAATTTATCATTTCATTTCATTTTTTTTTCTTTCATTTTTCTCCCTCTGCCTTTTTTAGAATAATATAATTTAATCTTGAATCGAATACAACTCGTTTGCGCAGTCTTTCTTCGATTATTTTTGTGGTCTTTGTTTCTAAACTTATCGCATACCACCGGAGGTTCACATCGAGTCGCCCAGGAACCCATAAATCCTCACGGCGAAAAGTTCTACGCCGGAAATATCGAATTTCCAGGCCAACTAATTGGCATGCCCAGTGGGATGCGATTACAATCGGAAAAAGGAAATTATTCATATGGGGAATCAAGGAAAGAACGGAGAAGAATTTTCGTACGCCTTTTATGGGTTGTCCATCCAAAGAATTTATGTCGAGAAGGTGCCGCTTCGCGTGTAGAGGGCAGCGGTTCGTCCGAGCGGATGGCGACTGCCTTCATTCGTGAGGAAATATCATCAGCGATGCAGGCGGGCCATCGAGAATTCGTGTTTGATATGTCACGCCAAGTGGCCGATATTCTTCGGCCGGCTACAAGCAATGAAATGACCGTTGATCAAGAAAAGGAGAACCAACACTGTTCAACGACTTCTGGGTGTTGTTTCGCTCCAATTGCCCAATCCCAAATTATGTTGGCTCCGATGCAAAGTGAGAAACCCGTTTTTTAGCCCACGAAAGCCCTAAATCAAGTAATTTTTTTGACTTTTCCTTCATCTATATATTCTAAAATGCCCCCAGTACAATTTGGGCAGGTTCAAGGGCTCCGGATTGACCC